TAGGGATGCACCGGTCCCTTGACTATTCATAATACCCAATCAAATTTCTTGGTTGAAATGTTAAGATCATGTGATGTTTGAAGAATGGGACCATGTATACCTATTACTTAACATTACGAACCCTTATATAAATGATGAGGGGTTTGCGGGAATCTATTTTTGACAGAAATAGAAAACGTATTTATGACGTATCGATTTTAAATAATGAATTTTGTATTTCATTAAATGGGAGTTTCTAAACACTCCCATTTCAATTTCTGATTTCAAAATTTTGTTACGCAAATAAGATTTTTTAAACTCCCACTTATTTCCGAAACATGCTATGGTTTTTAATGCAGAAACACTTATTGAATTAATTTTATCCCTGGCTTAGTGTTAGGATACTTTGTAAAACTTCAGGGTTTGGGGTACATTTCCAGTTACGAAAATTTATTATGTAATTTAGTATATGCATAAAATGTCATTTAATAATAATGCACGCACTTACACATGCAGAACTGCGTGATTACAATATATGTGTCAACTACTCAAGTAGTTGCCTAATTTGGTATTTGTTTTCGATTACACATATAATATCATGCAACATATATTAATAACTATGCTGGAAACAAATAAAAACCGGCAATGTTGATATTAACGATAATTTTGAATATGTATCAAGATGGGAAATCGTAATAGTAAATCCAGAAATAATCAATCTTCTAATTACGCTAATGAATTAGCGTCTTCAAGTAATAACTCGCCAAAATATACTTTTCAAGGTGGTAGAAGATATCATAATGTAGAGAATTCAAAATACTTTCTACCTAATGATGATGATGAATGTGATAGATTACATGTAATGCACTTTACATATAGATTTATTTGGAGAAGTAACTTTTCTGCCCCAGTTGAAGATCTTCTTAAACAAGAAGGATCAAGAGTTCTCGACGTAGGGTGCGTTGTTTTAAATTTATTATCTTATTCCTCTGAAGATAAGCTCGTCTGAAAATAAGCTCCTCCTTATAAAAAACAAGTTATCAGATCAGACAGATCGAAAAATAAGTTTCCCTATAATAAAAAGGATTCATTATAATTATAATTAAAATTTTAATTATTAATGATTATAATTAATTATAATTATAAATATAATTTTTATAATTATAATTATAAGTATAGTTAGAATTAAAGTATAATCACTATGATTATAATCATTATTGATACTGTTATTGTTATTTTGTAATATATTGTAACTCTTTTAATAATTAATTTAGAACAGGTGCTGGTTCTTGGTTACTCGAAATGGCAACCACTTATCCACTAACAAGATTTACCGGCATAGATATTTCTCCAATTCAACCTGGTTATATTAAACCTAAAAATGCTGAATTTATTGAAGCAAACGTATTAGAACGTTTACCATTTGATAATGATACTTTCGATTTTGTGTTTCAACGATTATTATTTGCCGGAATTCCTGGAAATGAATGGCATTCTGTAATTACTGAACTAGTTCGCGTATTAAAACCTGGCGGTTATATAGAGGTTTTCTTTTATTTATTTCTATCAAAATTTTTATTAATATTAAAATACTAATGAATTTCTTAAATCTGATTAACTTGATTTTTTTTTAAAAGTTATTCGAACTGGACTTTCAATGTAGTATCATGGGACCCGCAACAACAAAAATTATTAATGGCAGTAAGGAATATTATTATTTCATTGGTCAAGATGTTACTTTGCTATATAATTTTCTAACTTTATACATTTTCTTTAGTAATAATTTTATTTAATGAACGTGGTTTAGACACTCATATATGTTACAAATTACAACGTTATTTAGAACAGCAAAAACAACTTCAGAATGTTCATTTTGAAATAAAAAAACATTACGATGGTGAAGATGCTGAAAAGTTATGCAGATTGGTATCGTATATGTTTTAATAATGTATATTCATTTATATTCATTTATATTCATTTATATTCATTTGACTATTATATATATATATATATTGTGTGTGTATCTTGTTATTTGCATTATTTAGGCGGCTGGAAATTACGCTACTTTTCTCGAAACTATGAAACCAAAACTTATGAGCATAATTGATGTTCCGAGTGATGAATATGACGATTTGGTCAAAAATATGAAAAATGAAATAATAGAACTACATTCTTTTAATCCACAAGTACGAGTTTATGCTCAAAAACAATTTACATAAAATAGATCATACTAATAACTACATAAAAATCTAAAGCAATGTATGTTAATATTTTACCTCTTCTCTTAGTTTAACCGTGTATATAGGTGATGTTACAGTATATACCATTTTTCATTCAATTATTCAATTATTCTTCACGCATAGATTTATCATTTATGTTATTTTTCATACATAAATCAACAATGTAAAATTTCATTCAAATTTTTTACTTTCTATCTTGCAAATTATAATTCAATTATTCATTCATACTAATAAAAAAGTGTAATGCAAAAATCAAGATCATTTTCTTTAAACTAATAAATTTGGTGTACATGTTTTGCGTCGTTTCACAATTAAGGCCATTTTGAATTGATTTATTTAGAAATATAATAAATTCTTAATGCAACACTATGAAATTAAAGGATCAAGTCTATTATAGGTGTTTTCTTCCATTTGTCGCTGAGGTGTGGATAATCATCTGGCGTGACAAATAACCATTAATTTATTTGTATAAATAAACTAGACGATTCAATATCAAAAATTATTTAATTTCATTCTTACAAGAAAATAATCCGAATTGATATAAACTAGGGATGGGGATCGGCCAGGTCAATAACCGTAACCGATATTGACCTGGTCAAAATTATAACCGATGCCAGGATTTTTAATTTTCTAGCTATGAAATCATATTGGCAGATCTTAATCATAAATTGAAAAACCCATCGTTTATAATTCTGGTCAAATTGGCAGATCTGTATCATCTGATAAATTGAAAACCCCATCGTTTATAATTTTGGTCAAATTTGCAGATCATTTAGCCAGATCTAGAACAACCCAATTTTAAAACTGGTAAAATGTTCTGCAATTTAGCCATAGTTATTAATCTATGGTTTTTTTTCATAATTGATTACATACCTAATTTTGATAGCGTCACTAACTAATCCCATTTTGATATGAACTTTAAAATAAGTATCACAAAATAAATAGTAATGGATAAAACGGTGTTACGATCGTCCTTAGAAATTTTCGCCACTTGACTTGACGATCGTCAAATCATTAACTATCGTGGCAATAA